TGGATAGATAACCCGGATAAATATCCGTGGAAACACTCGTTCTGGGAGGTGTGTTCATCTAACGCTTCTCTGGCAAAACACAACGAGAGGAAAACGGAGGAGCGCCTGACCAGAATCCACATTGGAGTTCCAGAGCACACAACCCACCACTAACTGACCTGGGCCAACCTGTACTGGTGATAGCCTCGCATGCTGGCAACACCATGTGGCCAAGCTGATCCGGTCGTTTCAGGAGTTGTAGTGCACAGATACAGTTTGTGCTTAGCACGCAACTTCAGCAGGCTTTTGCCTTTGTCCGTGCGTCTCCATTCCACTCCAGGATGGCCGCACACGTGAGTCTCAGAAGCGCCAAATCTACCTACTTCGGCATTCATAACTTCACAAACCGCCACTATGTCTGAACTCAGCAAGTCGTAACTAGCGTCGGAAAAAGTGCTTCAAAAAATGTCATAAGTACAGTCTGTTGGGGCAAAGGCAGACAGAATGAACAGTGATTATCCGCACGTTCACGGGATGCTTTCACAGACGCTGTGAGAGGAACCGCATAGAGGAGACTATTTGGCCACAGAGACCGAGTCAGCCGTGGATGCATAGATAGCTGACGGCAACTGGCGGCGATCGGATCTGTCATTCCTTAAGAATAGACCTATGGAGCTGTCGTCACCTACGAGCTGAAGATGAAGAGGACAACTATGTGAAACTGAAAGAAGAGACGCACTAGCATTAGCCTGTTTTCGCTTACCCCCTGCTGTACGCAGCAATTAAGTTGACCTGGCTGACGAAACGCCTGATGCGATTATGTGTACCCGTGCTGATCATGGCTGTAGGTGGGTGATGGTAGTGTGACCCTTCTCAGGGTAATGGGGGAAGAAGATTTTGGTCTACAGCCAAAGCTTATGGCTTAAAACCCCAACCACAGGGTAGCGTTGGTTGGCGTAAGATTGCGAGAGCGGCTCGCGTATTTTAGATGCATGTCGACACATATGTTCCAACCCCCAACTTGGAGGATAAAGAGACCCGGGTATGAGACGCTCTGTGGATGTCCTGCGCGCATTTCGCAGTTTGGCTCAATGGGTTATGGAAATAAACAAACCGTCACACCGCGATGAGGCGCAGTCCCCGTTGTTGCATCGAAAGTGTGCTTTGGATTAGGGTGGCCTGCAGAGGGAGTATTTTGGTCTTTTTCAAAAGTTTTGAAGGAAGAAGCTGTAATCGTGAGATCATTTCAATCCAAGTATAAAGTCAGTTACAGCTAACCTAAATTTGGGACCCGCTTTTCTCATCCGTATACTGAGTTGACCTGTCAGTCGTTTTGTGGAAGAACACGGCTCTTCTATAGAGTGACAGCTTCAATGGAATACAACGTGGTTGCCCATGCTTGGGTTTAATCACCTTGGGAATACCCACATACGTCGAGTGTAGACAAGATGGTGCATGTGGGAGTAGAAAGACCAGCTCGATATTCTTCTTTGATAGCATTTCGCGCTTTAACCAACAGACGAAAGCATCTCTAATCATGCAGGAATTTCAGTCTGATGTATGTATTCGTTTCCCAAACTGGCAGTCTTTTGCTTTCCAATAAAACTAGGATTTTTACTATACCAAATCACCATCGTTATCCACTTCTCGTCTTCCACATTGTGAACAAGCACAAATGATAATTTTTCATTCGTATTTTGAGCACCATTTTTAACACAAGACTGCTTCCAAATTACCGAAAAAGAAATCGTTTTTATCACAACTGCGTAGAGAGAGCCGTTAAAAGTTTGTGCTTAGTTGAGAAGTGTTCTCCACTGATTCACTGGCCTGGAACTATATTGTTTTTTTAGATTTGGATAAACTTGCATCATCGCGTGAATGGTGCATACCCGATTTTCCACGCAGAAACTTGTGCCTCTCCTCGAGTCGTTGGACCTAACACAAGTATATTATTGCTGTGGGTACTCAAAAACCACTATGGCATGCTTGATCATTCAATTCCTTGTATTCACGTCAGCGTAAGTACGAAATTCTTCTTTCATTCGTGATACCCTCATTCTGCTGACGTTCTCTTTCGTCTTTCGCCTCAGTGCACTCTGCACTTGTGTGGAGGTTCGTATTGAAACAGTTGTAATATACTGTACAGACTAACCATCTCTTCTCGTTTGTACAACCTCGAATTTATGTCAGTTTTAGGTTCGTTCTGATTCCTTTGACATGGCATGACTACACCGCACACTGACGGGAACTGTTGGACGTTGCGAGAGCAGTTCAACGAAATTAGATTGATCAGTACATGGATTCTAGGATCATGAACGAGTTTGATCATGTTCGATTGGCCACAAAACCCTATGGCCCCATACGTTAGACACGCAGACTCTTTGGCGGAGATCGATCTGCAACCTTGGTGTGTTCGCCAAGCACCAACTTTTCGAAGAAAACACGCTATGACCAGAATACTGTTTGACTGCTGATTGACTTCATTCTGTTGCGATACTGTTCGTGATGGCCTTGAGTTGGAGGTTACGGATTGGTATCAGTACACTTTGCACACTTTGTTTTCATTGTTTTTCAGGTTGTTTATTATCCGTACGTTCGCATACGGCATGACCTGTTCATCAGCATTCTAGTTACTGGACCTTTAAGTAGTTTACACGAGTTACTCTGAAAACCTGTTTCTGATTGGTCAAGCAAAAGAGCGCGCCCACAATGCAACGACGCACGCATTGTTCTCATACGGGTGCGAAATTTGCCATCTCCAGACCACTAAAGTTCACAGGCCGTTTTCTGAGGTCGATGGGAGTACCGTGTTTTGGCTCATACTCCTTCAGGCGTGATTTCAATTTCCTTCATTTTGGTGGCTATGTTATATTTTGTGTGTCCATGACCATCCACCACCGACCACTATTTATGCGTTCTGGCAAGGTTTTGAAAAGAACGGGAGATTCAGCGCTAGCAAAGGAGAATAAAAGAAATCACGAGGCGTCTGGGTTCTGTCGGTGTAATCTGCTCCCCAGGATGGGGTCCACGGACTTGTGTAGACAGTTGAGAGCGGTAACATGTACTTGCAGTTCGACGTCATTGGTCTTCGTGCTTAGAGTAATAGGCCCCTGGATTGTGATGGCCAAGCACCAGGACTCTTTCTCCCTTCCTGTTCGCGTGACTTTGTGCGAATCAGCATCTTTGTGTACTTCCTTTAGCTGTGGCAACCTTTTTAGTTCTTAACTGTTATATACCACTCGAAGGAAGTACGAGGGCTGGACTATTGCCTGTAGACAGGGGAATTCGAAATGCGCGAGCCTTCCGTTCAGTAAATTCGCGCTCTAACCCCTGACCCATCTCGCCCTCCCCCCCCCCGCTCGAACATGCCAGTTACAATACGAACTGAAAGCAATATAGCTCCAACAATTAACAAAAATTCTTAGTTATATAAATATGGAAATTTGTGATAAATCAACTAGTTCCATTACACTTATTCCAATTTGATTAGGTGGTACAAAACCCATGCGCATGTGGTGAACATAAACAGAAGCTGACAAACATCATACCAGGTCGTCTCGTTGTACCCTTATTTCCCAGTCACAGATGAACAAGACTATCGAGCCCTAGTTATTTTGTTTCGTATCCCCGTGCAGGAAGCTTCAAGTGATTCGCCCCGTAGGAGGAAACCATCATTGAATAGATGGTTCCCTATCGCCAAGTGTTTCCTCGAATAGAGAGTGCTGTGTTAAGGGGAGTCCGGATGGAGGCCGTAATCAGTGTGTCAGAAGAGGTAGCATGAGAATAGGGCAAAAAGCAGTAAATTCTGATGATGCCCACGTTTTCAACTAGCTTGAAAATGAGGCATGAAAGCGAATAGTCTTATGTACGTAATTGAACGACAGCGCAGTTATTCTGTGGACACGATCCGTTCCCACATCCCGGAACGCTTCGGATTCAAAACAACTAACAGTTCTTCGAATATTTCAGACCTCTTGCCGCCAGGTATTGGTGGACTTCTGTCAGGAAAGGTAAATCAGGCATCCAGTACACCCGTTTCACATGGAAGTTGGTAAGCCACACCGCCGAAAAAATTCCGATTGCCGTCCTTCCCACTGAATGTGACTGACAACAAACCAAGCTTTCAAACTTTGTCCATGTACTAATGTAAGTGCACACTTCTGATGAAAGCTGTAAGCATAGGGTTTACAGCGTGAAACACCATCCCCGTATTTGGCCAAAAACTGAGTTAGAAAGTGTTGATCTCACTCGAACGTCAAGTTCCCCAAATGATGAGTCTTTGGTTTTCGTGTCCGACTTCGTCTACCCGTTCGGTTCGTGTTTCGTAACAGATAGCTCCACGTTCGACTGGATTCATTATTTCACCGTTAGCACAACTGTTTCTAGAAAGTATCAATGGCCGCTGTGTATAAGACAAAACGCGGGGTCTGGCTCCCGAGAAATTCAGACTGACAGTCACGGGGCCAAACAACAGGCCATCCGGTCTAGCGTTTCTTCATGCCGAATAACACAACTCACTACTCGCTTCTTTTTTCTTGGTAAAGGACATAACATCGTTCCTCTACTGTTACCCATAAAAGTCCCGATAATAACATGCAGGTAGAAGTTAAATATAGATCAAATATGATATTTTTCGACCCTGCAGGTGGTCGGTGGTCGTTATTAATCGTACAATAAGGTAAAAATATGCGTCCAGTGCAACTGACCGCATCGTTTACCCATCATGTCCCTCTAGGTGTCTCCAGCGCCCTCTCCGTAGTCGCCGTTGCATTTCCTGTCTAACCCACCACGATGGCATCCCCTCCGGAAGAGGTACAGCAGCTGGATATTCCATTTGTTTTCGTCTAGGTTCATTTGGGTCCAAAGGGTTCCCCTCAATCTGTAAGCGCTCACGAACGAGCTCCTCAGCTAGCTCTTTCCTATCTCGATAGCGATCCAAGTATACATCAAAGGACACATCATTATGTACACCATAACGCTCGCGTATTAGCGGGAGACCATGTGGGTGTCGTCTGGCTTTGTTCCAACTGTTGGCCAAGGGAAAACGTTCCTGGGGAGGAACACGAGGTGATGGCCATTCAATTTCGAAAATTGGTTCAGAAACATCTGAAAATATACCAGAAAAACACAATAGGGTGGGAATGAGGTGAACAGACAGCCAGGTAATCGTATGTCATCAAAAGATATGATACGAAGCGAATGAAGGTAACTACATTTCAAGAATAAAAAGCGCAACCCTACAGACGAACAAGGCCTGAAAATCTACTTCTAAGAAAGATATTTTACAAAGTCAATAGATTGAAAATATTTTTGGCTCCGAAGAAGCCGCACGCTACTTCCTCAAACGTGCCTTCATTTCATTCCCTGTGATGGAGCTTCAGAAATCCATCAGGTCGATTAGCAACACGTCCGCTCAACCAGTGGGCTACGGTGGGCCATTCGAACTGCTTAGAATACACAAAGTGAGTCGGGTCTTTATTTGACGCAAAGCTGGACAGGTTCAGGAAGCAGATATGTTAGAGAATTCGCGTACATTCTGATCCCAGTATTACTACTGCACATGGACAGTCAGGCTGATGTGAATCGTGGCGAGTTTGAAGGTCCTTACTCCACGCTACCGGCTCTAGTCATTACAGATCACGTTAGTGCATACGCGAAGAAGAAAACTCATGTTTCTTCGGAATCTATAAGGACAGGAAAAGTTGAATGGTAAAGCTGAAGATAGTCACTTTCCGTCATGAAGATATCAGCCCAAGAGGATTCCCGTGAAATTCCAATGATAATGCGCCCTATGAATTTTATAGCTATCTCGACAATAAAGTGGGTCAAACGACTAACAACCGAAAACAGAGTGTAATTACGCGTAAAGTGACGTGAATTACCTTGTGGGGAAAAACGGCTCAGTCAGGTCACTTCTCTAACTATCAATAACATCAGGTAAACGAGAATTAGGAGTAGAAAGAGCCTGTTCGGTCTACCCGAAATCCCACAGACGGATGAAAATAGTCAATGTTGGTTTGAACCTATTTTTGTTGGACGAGTGAAAGAACAAGGAGCAAGTTGTGCACAGTTCAATGGAACACAGCTCACGCATGGTCGCATCGAATTGGATTAAGGTGGGTAAATTCAAGATTGGCGCACCTCTGGTGGACAAGAAAAACGAGGAGTCAAGTTAGTTGTTTGAGGTTTCAGGGTGGGAGTTCGAACTGTGGTGAAGGTGGAACGGAGACGAAGGTTGGTGGTCGTGTATGGGAGAAAGAAAAATGTGGGGATCAATCAAGCGAACGCTGTTTGGTCAGTCTGAGAATACAAATCCCGAAATACTCCACGGACTGAATGACAGCACATCGGAGATGGATGAGACCGAGGCACAAAAGAACATACATATTGGGAAAAAAACCTATCGGTTACCGCCCCCTATAATGAGACCGAGGCACAAAAGAACATACATATTGGGAAAAAAACCTATCGGTTACCAAAAGCCCCCTATATGAGACTCAGGGGAAACAAAGGACGTGATTCATTCAAGCATCAAAGATAGGCAAAAAGATCGCTAACGTAGAACAAGGAATGCGATATATAAACTACATAACGTACAAAACCCGCTGGGTTGTGAACGGAACCGGAAGTTTTGTTACTCAGTGATTATCAATTTCCAATTCAATCAAGAATGACAATATATAATATCCAACAACCAGGTCGTACTATGGTTGACGTAAAAGCAACGGAACAGTCAAGCACCATACAACAGCGTTAGGTCTTACAGATAGAAAGCTATTGCGACTAGGAATCGAACATACAACGTGCGCAAACCAAGTTAGCTCCTGGCTAGCCAATACAATTTAGTACGAAAAATTAGCGCAGAGAAAATTTAGGTAGAAGACAGATACCCGTACGGTGATCGGGTCTCCAGTTTTACGAGTTATGAGTTCGAAACTGCACAGTCAAAAATGTTTCCCACTTACTAGGCTAAAATTAGATCACGCGCTAATAGCACGATTAACCTCAGCGATTCATATACACAAAAGCGAGATGGCTCAGTGGTTAGCGTTCGAATCTACTGATCGAAAGGTCCGTGGTTCGAACCCGACCTCTGCATCTAGACTTCTCCTGTCTAGAGTTGGGCAACCTGGTGTAACGGTGGATACTACTGATGAGGCATGCGAGTAGTGTCTTCTCGTAAATCCGCTTCACGTCTCTTGAAAAATGAGATCTATTACGGAATTTATGGAGTCGACTTCGAGCATTTGCTTGCCTATGAGTAACAGTCAATGAATATCCAGGAAAGTTCAGGAAGACACGTTCAAGAGAAGATGGATATTCAGTTTCGTAAAAAAGATGCATGTGAGAGTTTCGCTCCCTGCCCGATGGTCTGTAACTGTTCTCCAATAAACAACTCCGCAGTGAAGGCCTTCTTCCCTTCACTGGTAGTATCCCAGCCTTCGTGCCTACTTCTGGTGGCATGACAGTTAGGCACCGAAAGGGTGCTACGCAAAAGCAAGTTCTCCTAAAATGTCTATTTTTGGAGGATTCACTACCATCCATGGCAATACGCCAATGATAAATACCGACGCGCAAATACCAAATAACAACGGAGAACAGTGCACAACTGAGGGGTTAGAATGAGAGGGGAAAGGGGAGGGAGACCTAGGGCACAAAAGCTTCATGTAACCAGAGAAAACTACCACGAACGAAGAATTCACACCTTCGAATAGCATTGAAATGAACAACTGTGAGCATACTGTCGGAGCGATACGCGGTTGTAGACGGGGATGAGCAAACAGAAAACCGAACAAATGCAGGCTTTCTTCTCCTTACCAAGCACTGTACGATAATAATTCCGTACACTCGGGTCCCAAGAAGACTGGAAGAACGATAGGCCCCCAGGAGTTAGTTCGGATTCGTACTGTCTATAAAACTCGAGCGTATTGAACTGGCGTTGAGTGCGTAAATCACTGGAAAGCAGAAGTGAACCAAGAATGGCATATGTGAGGAGATTACTTCCAACGTACAGTCAAGAATTAAGTAAAGACATGAGCTTGAATAAAGCAGCTTCTGAATTAAGAACCACCTTCAAGGGTCAGCAATGAGTACTCCGATAAGGTCGGTTTTTCTTGAGAGAAACGACTAATATGAAACATCTTTCGCACTTTCCAAAGTCGGGCAATGAAAATTCGCATAAGGGTTCCGTCCGCTTGATGAAGGTTGTTGTGGGGAATACTGGAATTCCAGAAGCACTTCATTATTCAGATTATGTCAAAAGAAAAGCCTCTACATACTTCCGGCCTAAATGCACTTAGGTAGCAGAAAGGAAACGATAAAACTGAATCACAGCATGGGTTGACTGCACCGCAGGCGAACGAAACAACTTTCGCACTCCAGTGAGCAAGACAAACATCGTGACACACACCATGCTCGGAACACGCATATCGAACAAAACAGCGTTTGTGATATGAAAAAGTTGTCTAGATCAGTAGACCCGACTAAGAAAGCAGCCGAACGACAGAAAGTAGGACAGAAGCAAAGTGAGACCCGTTATCCGACTCGAATGTTAATCCGCGCCGAATAGCAGCGCGCAAGCAGGTATAGGACAACACACAAGAGATCAACATTTCCGGCAAATAAAGAATGTAGTTGCGGCATGTCTGAAAAGTGTTCCCAGGAAGTGAAAACTAATGATTTTAGTATTGAACGGAAATTGTATTGAGTTCCGTCTCCCTATGACGTCTGAGCTAGTCACTTCGACCGAAAGCCACACGAAGATAGGTATGTGCAAGCGATCGGAAGCAGAATTAAAAGATTTGTGTTGAACTTTTTTCACGATGCAAAACGTCCATGTGACGCATGCATATTTCAGAGTTTGAAATGAAATCGCAATAAAACCTATGAGAAAGCTGAAAATCGTCTGCATTCGCCCACAGGTAAGTATAATAACAACTACTGTTGTAAGAACAGAAAGCCGATCGGGTCCAATTAAAAACAGCCACTGCGATCTTAGCCATCTGAAATCATGTAGTCCGACAGAAAAACCTTATGACAAGACGAATTACAATGACATGTCTGCTCGATATAGAACAGCCCTAAGCAAGGGCCTTTAGTTAGCTTAGTTGCACGAGCTTTCATAAGGGCTGGATCTGAGTGTTACATATTGAAGCAAAAGATACCCATTCGTATCAACTATTACCTTGTCAGTTACCTTCTTTGAAGGCATCACCTAATCAGACCAAGTTAGATTGACCGGTTGCCCTGCCCCAGTGGAACACGCACCATCAACTGCTATCTATTACCTTGTCAGTTACCTTCTTTGAAGACATCACCTAATCAGACTAAGTTAGATTGACCGGTTGCCCTGTCCCAGTGGAAAACGCACCATCGACTGTTACCCGTGAGTACTCGCACACAACATGAAGGACAAAAACAGTTATGTAGTAAGTAGGTGACCGAAATAGACCATCGTCCTGCGAAATATCCGCTTTGCAATCCCATTTATTACGAACGTGTACTACAATTAAAACCGAGACCATACGGAACAACGCGGCGTTAGTTTAAAGAATGCCGAAATGGCTTTAAATTCAGTGGAAGCTCTTTCGTATTTCCCGTTACGTCAAGTTAGTTGGCGGTGGGAAAACTTATTAAACATATGTCGTCCCAAAAGGACGTACAGCTTGAATCTTCAGTTGGTCATACCAAATCTTACTAGCCTATTCGCTGACACAAGGATCCATGCCATTTAACGGAAATCTTAGTCTAATGCGACCTTGGGAAAACCAATAAAGCTCTCATTTTGGACGGATGGTGGTCATTTGAATGGACAACTAAGCTAACACTCGCAAGTTCCGTGCACACCAACACGGTCATCGTTACAACAGACAGTGCAGGCAGAAAGCCTTCTTAACACGTACGCCTCCACTACTTCAGTCCAGTCGCTTCCACCCAAACCGTTTACGCTTTTTCCTCAGTCTGAATGCACAAACCTCTGATCCCCTTTAACCAAGTTCTGTTCTCTTGTCTTCGAAACCGTGAACCCGCATCGAGGCCGTGGAAATTTACTGAGTATCGCGGATGGTCCTTCCAAATAGTATGAACTATGACAGCCAACAGTGGCCACCAGAGGAATCCAAACTCTTCGCCATCCTCTTTATCATCAGATTCCCAACACTCTGTCTCGATCTAGGCAACTTGGAATTACTTCGCTCGCAGATAAACGAACCATGAGCCCACCTTATACGTATACCTTCTACCCGTACTACGGACATGATTGACCCTTTTTGCACGCATAACCCCCGGTTCCCACATATCATATCTACCAAACTGTTCGTTCCTCGCCATTCGCATGAAGAATTTTTTTATTATGTTTAATCTAGGACACAACTAAAACTTCTGAAACTCACAGCCAAACCCGCCAACTGTTTCCAGCGTTCTGAGCGTGTTGATATGTTTCTTGACTCACATAATACAATTCTGTCAGTCCCACTGTTTGGACACTTATACATCCAGCTCAACAGGCTGTTTTAGCGCGATCTTTGAGGCTCCTACAGACTATGCAGTCTCTAAAAGGCGTTTATATGGGTGCCATAGCTAACGGGCTGGTTTTTCCGGCCAATTCTGCTATTAACTTTAATTTCCGCTTTCTCTGGAGACCTTACTGCCACATCCACAGGTCAAGCAGCTGTTATTGTTTTGAACGACAGAGGCAGGCCGCCCCATAGGTCGATCGATGAAATAATGAGACGAACTTTGGAAGGTTTCCAAAACCCTGGTGTTCAAATAGCCTGTGAACAAAGCCTTGTCGATCTGCAGTACGCAGACGGCGTCGTTCTTATGTTCGAAGAGGAGAAGGTGCACATGTTTTTAGATGAACTGACCAAAGTTATCCCGTCCTTTGGTATGCACTTTGCACCTACAAAGTGTAAGGTCGTGTTCGTGGACGTGCAGTAACTGAACGCGCCACTTACAATCCAGGGAGAGGTACTGGAAGTTGTGTCGGTAAATCCGTAACGAAGCAGTTGGAAAGCAAGTTTTCCGTTGTGCAACGGGTGCGTCCATTGAAGAACGTGTCCAGCACCGGAATTTGCGTTGGTTGGAACATGTGTTGTGTATGCCTAGCCAGCGTTTGCCGAAGAGAGTGCTGTTTTCCATGCCCAATTCAGAGAGGTGGAAGCAGAGAGGTGGCCAACCCTTGACTTGGCACAGGAGTATGAAGGAGATCACGAAACGCTTGAGTGTTGTCGGTGCTACTCGCCTTCCAGGATGGGGACCACGTGATCCCCACTGAGTCTGTTTGGAGACACTACAAGAAATGGCTGCCAACCGACGTCAGTTGCGTTCTTGTTGTCAGTTTCTATCCAGATTGCCTGAGTGAATGTCTGGAGGTGTAGGCACCTCGGAATTATTGTAGTAAGCTAGCACTAAGTCCCTTCCCCGTCCACCTTTATTCTTTTCTTTACAATAAAGCTTTCAAATAAATCATGGTTGCACGGCAGTGAAGCATCAGCGTTGGACACTGATGTCATGCTGTCGATGATGATGACAGACTGAACTCCAAAAGCAGATGGCTTGACGAGTCTAAAAGCAGACAGGATACAACCCGAAAATCGTGCTTTATCTGCCATTTCAGCCTGCGTGTCTAATAACTGCAGTTCCAAAATAAAAAAGTAAAAGTTCCACCCACGTCTATTCCGTCCAGCGCTCACGTTGGACACTCTGGCTTCGGTTGGAGATATTAGTGCACGTGTGAGGCCCTCAGCGGCTACTAAAACCCTTTAAGGAAAGCGTTTCATCTATGGCACTATCCGACCGGACAACGGAGAGAGACTCGCTGGTACCGACCCAAGAAGCTACAGATGCGGCGAGGTTATGTCCAAGGCCGGCGGTCAAACTGTATTGACTTCAACTACGTCCCATCAATGACAAAAGTAACGCTTCGGCTTCACCGACGTGACTGCCAATACGCAAGGCCTATAAAGACTTTCTGGTCCAACGTACGTGCCAGAACAACGTCTGTAATCGGTCCTGGCAAGGAATATTTAATTTATACGGTTGAAACTGTTATTCAATTCGATGGCTGAGCCAGTCGATTTCGACCGGACACCTAATAAACTCAAGCTGTCCCGAAGTGTCGGTGACTACAGTGTGATTAAAACGGACTACCATAAACCAGAGATTCAGCTGAACTCCGCGGATTCTCTTCTCGAAACAAAATCCGTGTGCGAATGAGAGTACTTGTCAACTTATGCCCAATTTGGGTTCAAGTAGAATATAAGGTTGATGGAATCTTGGGGACTGTGACTACCTGATGAGGACCAAGAGGGGCGAAACTGGTCGTGGATCATCGGAAATTTTTCAGCGTGTTAATTAGAAGTTGGTTTGGACCCAGCCAACTTAGTGGCCTGGACCAACCATCAGCACGTGGCTTAACAACGGTCGAGTTCCGACGATAGTTGTTTTGAAGAGAAGATCGTTGAAAGCAGGGTGCATCGTGTCATTGTACTCTCGGCAGCAGACACACCAAATTTTGCTTTGGGGTTCAGATTCATTGCTATATTAAAGCCCAACGGGATGAGTCTTGTGATGATGACAAACTGGTCTTGTAATAGCACCAATTTTCGAGAGACAAAAACCAGCTCCATCCAGTCAGTTGGAAGCATTTCGAAATTGTCTTGGAAGTTGTGTTTTAGAAAATTTTAGAAATTTCAGAATTTGTCTGCAAAACTTTTGAAAAGTAAAAACTCAAGCATCTTGCGAAAAGGGAGTGAATTTGACAGCAACATTGACACATCGAATAGTGCCATGAATTTGTCGACCACGGGTAACATCTATAGGTAACACAGTAAACAAATATGGCCCACGCACCAAAGGCAATCAAATCTCAACTGTTGCGGTTTTATTGGGCCAATTGAATAGAATGTAGGCCTACTGGAGATCTACTAAATAGTAATTATCCAGACACTATTAATGCTTTTAGTTCGAAGTACATTACGTGGTAACCCAGCAGTCAGCTAAAAGAAACCATGTGGAGTAAAAAACACTTGTGTCGAAGAGTTACACAGAATAAAGCATATCGATCGGATACCGGGCTTGGTTGGACACGCTGCAAGATGTGATCAAAGAACGGGTGACACCGCATCGTCGTTTT